CCAAGTCATAGGAGGTGTATCACCAGTCGAGATGTAGTTTTCAATGAAGGAGAGATGGCTTTCAAGAAAACCCATGATGCCGACGAAGAGCTGGAACAGGGAGAGATTCCTGTTCAGGTGGAGCATGTTGATGCTGAATTGCATATCCCAGATGAAGTCGAAGAAGATGCAGAAGATGTTGTCGAAGATGAGGAAACTGATAATGACTACCTACTAGCAAGAGACAGGTTGAGGAGAGTCATTAATCCACCTCAGAGACTTGGGTATTCAGATCTTATAGCTTATGCCTTAATCTCTGCAAGTGAGGTTCTAGACGAAGAACCTAGAGACTATAAGAAAGTTATGAGGAGTTGAAAGAAGATTGAATGGCTGAAGGCCATGGATGATGAGATGAAATCTCTTCATGGTAGCAACACCTAGGAACTGATCAAGAAACCTGTTGGAGCCAGGTTATCAGCTGTAAATGAATTTTCAAAGTTAAGGAAAGGATCAAAGGAATGGCGTCGAAGAGATACAAGGAATGATTGGTCGCTAGAGGGTTCACTCAGAAAAAAGGTGTCGACTTTAATGATGTGTTCTCTCCTGTTGTGAAGCATAGATCCATTCGAATGTTGCTTGCCACAGTGGCACAGTTCAACCTTGAACTGGAACAGATGGATGTGAAGATTGCGTTCTTGTATGGTGATCTAGATGAAACAATCCTTATGAGACAACCTGAAGGGTATGTCGAAAAAAGGAAGGAAAATTACGTGTGTAAACTGAATAGATCTTTATATGGATTGAAACAATCTCCTCGAAAGTGGAATAGGATATTCGACAAGTTCATGGCACGCATAAGTTTCATTAGAAGTCAGTTCGACCACTGTGTTTTACTTCAGATTTCGACCTGGTAATTCATTTGTTATTTTGTTTCTTTATGTGGATGATATTCTAATAGAAAGAAACAATGTCGAAGATGTAATGAGAGTGAGGGTTGAACTCAATGAGAAGTTTGACATGAAGGATCTGGGAGCTGCGTCCAGGATTCTTGGGATTGACATCCGAAGAGATAGAAAGTAAACGAAATTATGCTTATCTCAAGAGTCATACCTACGGAAGATTCTCAAAAATTTGGCATGTCGAATTCAAATCCTGTTGTGACTCCAACAAACCCTCAATTCAAGCTGAGTATAGATCAGTGTCCGAGTACTGATGTCAAAAGAGCTTATATGAATAGCATTCCACATGCTAAGATAGTGGGTTCTTTGATGTATGTTATGGTCTGTACTAGACCCGACATAACATATACAGTAAGTCTTGTAAGCAGGTACATAGCGAATCTTGGAAAGGCTCGACAAGCATTGAAGTGGATTCTAAGGTACATAAATGAGTCTCTGAATAGAGTCCTAATTTATGGTGGAGCCTTGGGTGAAGATAGTAAAGTAGAAATTGAAGGATATTTCGACTCTGATTATACAGGTTGTATGGATTCCAGAAAATCTATTTCTAGATACGTGTTCACTATGTTTAGGAAGCATTGTGGCTTGAAGGTTTTGCAAAGGAGCTGAAATTTCCTGGTCAAGTTATCACTATTAAATGTGATATTCAAAGTGCAATACACTTGTCGAAGAATTCAGCCTATCATGAGCGAGCCAAACACATTGATGTGAGGCTACATTTCGTCATAGGGGTAATCGAGCATGGAGAAGTCCATGTGCTGAAGGTTTCGGCAGATCATAATGCTGCTGATATGATCACCAAGACGTTGTCCAGTTGCAAGTTTTTCCACTGTATGCAGTTGATAATGCTTCATGTAGAAATTTAGTTTCTTGATGTTATAGAGTTATATCCAAGGTGGAGATTTGTGAGATATTGGATCGAACTCTAGTATGATGTCAAAGTAATACGTATTATAGTCGAAGTTTGTTCAAACATATATTAGTCAATATTGCTAGGTTTGTTAGCATATGAATTGGGTCTTGCTTGTAAGACCAATTGTTTAAGTTAGCTTGTACCCTAAGTTAGCTTGTAATGAGTAATTGCTAAAAAGTCCATTAGGTTAGTGTGTTATTTTTCTTATAAATAGCATGCTAGTCTCTCATCTTGTATAAGGAAAAATAGGAAGATAAAATCCTAATTCAAGAGAGAGAGGTTATTTTTTATTCTTGTATACTTGTAATCTTGTTTAATAGAGAACGGAAAGAATAGCAGTTTATAACCAATCCTTGTTGTTTCTTGTTGTTTTCCCTTGTTTTCTTTGTTAACCCTAACCCTTGTGTGTTTCTTGTCTATAAAGAAACTGTTTCTATTTTTTTTCAAGGTATCCTATTCACAACACTTGAAAAACTAAGATATCTCGCTTAAACTCCTAAATCTAATGAAAAGAGCATTCATATATTTCATTCTAGAAAATGACATTAAACACCCTAGTTGTATTAAGTTAACTCATAATTTTATAAATTAGTAATACTCGAGTTTGTTACCTTTTGATTTTACTGTCATCGGATATGGAAGGAGAACCATTTATCAAGGCCCTTATGTGAAGAAAAATGTGCCACATACTCCATCAATATGGATTAACATCTGAACAAGCTAGCCAATTAAAACACCTTGAGCAACATAACTCCATTTCAACTAATTAATTTATATACGTGTTAACTAATAATTTTTTTTTATCTGACATTGATATATATTTATTTTATGAATGGTAATAAACTGATCTCCCCTTCTAACTCATACGCTTGGTTGAGTGAGAATCTGGAACCAAACTTTCCTCCAAGTAGGAGTGAAAATAAGCTGAGTTGAGTTAAACTTTGTCAAACCAAAGCCTAGCTTGCGAAAAAATTCAAGTTGTAAGCCTGATCTGTAGCCTATCATAGACTTATATTTTAGGCATGATCCTGGCCTTTTCGAAGGCTTGGTTAACATGTTAGCCTACTTAAAATTCTATTTCATTTGAATATAATTAACTAAGAAATTCAACTAATCTTTAAATAGATTAACGAACTATAAGACTAATGTCACTACAAGTTTATTTGCATTGACTTATTTGAGCCTAGTTTTTTTAACTAAATAGACTTATAAAAAAGATATGCCTTTTCCTTTTTTAAAAAAGCTTGATTTGGTCTAGTCGTGTGTAGGTTATGTCATAGGCCTCTGTTAGTTGGCATGACCTATTCTCAACCCTGCCTTCAAACTCTTATGTTTGGCCAAGTGAGAATCCTAGATCCCTCTCTAAGCTCACACACTTGATTGAGTGAGAATTCTGACACTCTCTGCTACACTCGCTTCTCGACTAGCTACTAACTTGTATGATTATGGCTCCATATCCATCTCTATCAGAATATTGTTCTTTGAGAGCGAGGATGATAACATTTACATTTTGACTAATGACTTGTTCTTAAAGATGTTTGGATCAATAACGTCAGATAAATAAAAAATAAAAAACATGATCAATGTACAACCTTGAAGTGTCATGCATCACCCGTGCCACCAACACATAGAAAAAAAAGCATTAAAGACAAAAAAAAGACTATCTTCATAACTCAAGTCTGTTATGAGACCAATCATCAATACAACATATTCATGTAATAATAGTCCCAAAAAGGGATTTATAATCAGCAAATTCCGTATTCAAACCATTTTATGATTCCATATGTTACTTGCAGCCCCGATTAAACACTAGACTAAAGCTTTTATCAAACTCAGTCAACTAAAGGTTTGAGGAATAATATTTTGGATCGAGAATTTGGATGACCCAAACTTAATACCACAACTTTAAGGGCATATAAGCTTAACACTACCACCTTTAACAGTACCCATTTTCTAACTCTTAAAACCCTAATCAATAGTAACTTAGACGTCATAGTGTCTGCATGTACTTTGCAAGTCCTCATGATATTTTGAACTAGAGTTCTAAATCAGAATAATAAAAATTATGATTTTCGTATATAATATCTCAATTACAACATGCCCAATGACTATAAGAGATCTTGATACCATATATTCACCAAAAACTTAAGAAATAGGTGTATAAGTCTTTTCTCTCATATATCCAACATTTTGTCCCTTTATAGTCGATGTGATACTTAACCACCCACACTTAAATTTTAACAGTCTTCCACAAGTGTGAGTTCCCACATCTTATAACAAGATCCAACAAAGGATCAAACTTTCGTTCCCCACCAAGCTGAACCGAGCTTTGATACCACTTGTTAGGTCATGAGATGAGCATCCACATTGGATCAAGAGCAACCACACAAATGAGAAAGACACTACATATTCCCTCAAAATCTTAAGACATTAGATATGAGTCCTTTCACTTATAAAATGTTCAACGTCCACTTTTCCAAGCAATGTGAGACTTTTAACTCATACTTGTATCACAACAATCTCCCCCTCGTGTGTGAGTTAATCTACTTATATGATCCCTCTCAAGCGGAAGCTTTATTTATATACACTTGTACTGTTGTTGACATTCTTACTACATTATGAACACTTCAGTAATACATGCCCACCTGATCACCGTCCCATTAGGAAAATTTTGATACAAGGAACCCGTTCCTTAATTGAACTATCGAATTTGTTATGACTTGTTGGGGAATTTATAAAATACGAGAATTACAACGAGTCATGACCATACGAGAGACATTGACACGTAATCATCTAAAATTCTAAAATTTTAAGGAAATAAATTTATGAATTATTTTTCTTAAATATTCAATATTTTCTCCCTTCATATAATTTTATATAAGACTAAAGGCAAATAAACGTGTCTTCCATTAAAAAAAACTGAAAGATACTAATTGTCACACCTTTTTCGTTTTGTTTTTTACATCTTCAAATAGTAAAAGTTTGAATATACACCTTAAGTTAACGACAATAAAATTCCAATCATTTATCTTCTCATCAGGACACTAACTTATCCATCTAAATTATTTGAGACTGACACTGACTTGCACCTTATTTTGCTCCAAGCTTTTAGATACTTGTACAACCGAAATCTTGAATTTAGATTCACCATGGATGTGGAAGGAAGAACAAGCAATGCCAATGATAACTCTCTCACTCTCAATCCCGAACAAGGTCAAGAAAAGGATATCCCAAATGATAGTTATGACCTGTCTACTGCCCATACTATTGACAGAGGTACTGTTATATTCTCAGTTAAATTCTGTTTTATGTAAAGTAGTTTGTTTTTCACATGATGTTTAATTTGCAGATTCATGGCAACAAGTGGGGTTGATGTTGGTGACAGGCTTCAACTGCGGTTGGATATTCAGTTTCTCGAACCTGATTATGGTTCCACTTGGTTGGACTTGGGGTGTTATATTGCTCTTTGTTGTTGGATTATACACAGCTTATGCTAATTGGCTATTGGCAGCGTTTCATTTCATTGATGGACGTAGATTCATCAGATACAGAGATCTCATGGGATTTGTTTATGGTAAGTTTTTTCTTCATTAGATATATGTTAAAAGTTCTATTTAAACAAAATTTTGCCACAAATATAACTTTTGTCACTAAATATTTTGAGTTATTTTTTATTGACAATAAGATGCAAGTTATTGAACACTTATTCAAAATAGTTATAAAATGGCTCAAGTTATTATATTCATTTTAGTTATATGTCAAAAGCTTATAAAAAAGTTATAAAATGACCCAACTATATAAATCTCATTAAACACTTATGTCTGGTTTAGAATAAGGATATTATATTTTGTTTTAATTAGTAGGGATGGAAATGGATAAGGTTTGGCTATGATATTATAATTTCTCTGTAATATATGTATTCGTACCATATGAGTAGTTAAATATCCACATCCTTTTCTGCTATTCGTTGTTCTAATAAAATAAATATATTAATTGGAAACATCTCATCATTTAATTTTTTTTTTACAAAATTAACAAAAAAAAAATTAACAAATTAACTCTTGAATTATAAAATAAACGAATATTTATATTAAAATGTGAATAATGAAATAACCGAACATTTTAATATATTTGTTGTGGATATTTTTTGTGGCTGCCCATTAGATATAAGTACAATTGTTATCCCTAATTTTAATTCATCGTTTGATTAAATAATTAAATATGATAAAATTTTATTGTATTTAATATTTTATTTAAAATTTATATTCTGAATATGAGGTGATTTAGACCCTAACAAAATATAATAAGAAAATTATTGTTGATTTATTTCAAAAATATATAATTTAAAATTTAAAAATTGAAATTTAATATTATGTGATATAAAGAAAAAGGAATTTGGAATTAAATTAAAAAATGAATGTTTATTAATTTATTTATTGAAAATTAAAAAATAAAACTATTATTAAAATTGTTATTAAGTTATTATATAAGCACAAATGCTTAATCAACAAAGAAATCAATTATTAGCCATTAATAGAAAGCGTGTTATAGTGTATGAGTGAGTAGGATGAAAACATGCTTGTGTGGACTTGATTTGAGTTTTTCTATTGGTGAGAATTAGGACTTCAGGCTTTCCTGCGAGCCAGACAATTCTCAATGTTGTGTACAAGTATGAGTTGGAAGTTCTACATTGCTTAGAAAAGTAGGAGTTGGACACTTTATAAGTGAGAGAATCCATACAATTATCACCTTAAGATTTTGAGTGAATATGTGGTGTCAATCTCACTTATGTGTTGCTCTTGAGGCAATGTGGATGCTCCTCATGATGACTCATCAGTGGTATCAGAGTCGATGGTTCAATTAAGGGATTAGTTCCATGTATCGAAAATCTTTTTGACAATGTGGTGGTCAGACATCGTCTTTTGTTGTAGTGCCCGCAACGGAGGTACAAGTGTATGTGGATGAAAGAGCTTCCGCTTGAGAAGGATCATAGTGGATGAAATCACACTTAAGGGGGAGATTGTTGTGTACAAGTTTGAGTTGGAATCCTACATTGTTTACAAAAGTAAAGGTTGAACACTTTATAAATGAGAGAACCCATACAACTATCATCTTAAAGTTTTAGGTGAATATATGGTGTCTCTCTCTCTCTCACTTGTGTGTTGCTCTTGACCAAATGTGGATGTTACTCACGATGACCTAACACTCAAAAAAATGCTAATAAGAGATATAAGAATTCAACCATGGACAGAAGAATGCAATGTGCAAGACTAAAATTCAACACTTCTAGGGAACACCGTGTACTACACAAATAGAAACAAATTTACAAGTCTTGAACCCATAAAATATAATTGAAAGTGCATCAAAATCAAATCAATTTGTGCTATAAATCAAAGAGCCTAACATGAAGAAAGATAAATCTGAAACTCAAACATTGATCAAAATTTACACATCAAGCCACAAAGCATGAAAGAGATAATATTGCTAAACACAATCCATTTTTAATGAACAACCAACTTCAATCATCTCCATTTGAAGTAAGATAACAATGCATATTCATCACATTTTCCCCCTCATTTACTTCTCTCAATTAATATGTATATCTTCAATAATATGCAAAGACAAAACATTATGATGGTCCATTAAAACCATCGAGAGAAAGTGGATTGAAGACTTTGAGCAAATTCAAAGGGTATTCAAAGATTGATATCAACAGTTGTATACTACTTATGTGGAGGTGGATGACTAGTGCTAAACTAATATCAAGTTTCCAAGTATAAAGAGTCATACGCTTGAGTTTCTTAATGAGGGATTGAATGCAGAAGTGATAAACAAAACTAATATGTATCTATTTCCTAAAGTCATGAATCCTCAATTTGTTCACCAATTTAGGTTGATAGCATTGTTTAACACCATTTAAAAGGTATTGAGAGATATTTCTGTGAATAGACTCAAGAAAGTCATGGATAAGATAGTGTCTCCCTTCCAATCTGGATTCATCTCTAGGAGAAGAATTCAAGATAACATTGTTGTGGCACATGAGATGGTCTATAGTATGCATAGCTTCATAGGTAAAACTGGTCATTTTGTGCTAAAAGTGGATCTATCCAAAGCATATGACAAGATTAATTGGAGCTTTGTCAAAAAAACCTTCTTGATATTGGCTTACTTGAGAAAATGAGATATGCCATCATGGAATCTGTTTCAATAGTGAAGATGTCAATCCTCTGGAAGGGTAAAAAAGATATTAACTTTGATACAAAAAAAGGAATGGGACATGGAGATCTAATATCCCTATATATTTTTGTATTATGCATGGAAAATCTTTCACTAATGATTATGGAAGAAGTGGAAGAGGGCAACTGGAAGTGTATGAAGGCAGGTAGGAATGGAACCAAAAGCTATCATATGATGTTTATTGATGATTTACTATTATTTGGAAAAGCATATGAAAATCAAATGAGAATGATCAAAGGAATCTTAGATAAATTATGTGATATGTCTGGTTAAAGAATCAACTATGATAAGTCTAACATTATTTTCCCCAAGAACACTAATTCTCTGAGCAGGAATAAGATATTGCAAGTAGCGGGAATTAGAGAGAAAAACCAACTAGGACTCTACCTTGGTATGCCCTTAATAGGTAGGTGTGATATTTGGATCAAACTCTAGTGTCGACAAGGATAGTTTCATAGTTCGACAAGAGTTGTGCCTGCTGTAGTCGAAGTTTGTTCAAGCATGTTCTCAAAACATGTTTTTTTTAAAGCATGTTGAATTGGGTCTTGCTTGTAAGCCTAATTGTTAAGTTAGCTTGTAGCCTAACTTAGCTTAGTAGTCTATAAATAGACTAGTTCTTTTAGGTTGTTGATAGAGGTTAATTATTGTTATTCACTTGTAATCTTTGAACCCTTAATGAGAAAGGAAATAGTAAAACAGTTTTAACCAATTCTATTCTCCTTTTTCCTTATTCTCTCTCTTTCGTAAAAGCTAATAGGATTTCTTATGTTTGTTCAAGAAAATCAATATTTATCTCATAACTTTATTTTGTTATTGGCAACATTGTTTCACAACAGTATGAGTCTAAAGCAAGGGACTACCAGCATATGGTTGACAAAGTCGAGAAGAAATTTTCACCTTGGAAGGCTAAACACATATCCATGTTAGGGAGGATAACCTTAGTTAAATCAGTCTTTACTTACTCAATGATGAGTAGCATGGTTCTAAAGAGTTGTCTTAAGGAGATCTAGAAAATTCAGAGACACTTTATATGGGCAGTGTGGGATGACAAGAGGCATATTTACACTGTGAATTGAAATGAAATCACTAAATGTAAATATGAAGGTGCGCTAGGATTGAAGAAATTAACTGATAAGAACAAAGCTTGTTTGGCTAATCTAATCTTGCATATGAGTAAAGGAGATAACGATCTCTGGTGCAATGTATTAAAAGGAAAATATGGAATAACCACTACAACAATTGGACTGGGAGAGGCTTATCCTTATGGCTCAAGCTTGTGGAAAAGCATAGTGAATACATGACATTTGATTGGCAACTTAGTAGTTGGCCAATTTGCAATGGAGAAAGATATAGAAAGAGATATAATTATGTGGCAAGTCTTGCTGATGATAATGGGGATTGGGATTGGAACAGGCTGAGAAGTTGGTTTAATAAGGAAATATTGGAAAGATTCTCACCCATTCATCCTCTAAGGAAAGATATAGAAAGAGATATAATTGCGTGGGGAGGAACAAACAATGGATCATTCACAATTGTGATTGGTTATGATGTAATATAGAATTCAAGAACAAATAATCCGAGTAACAAATGGATTACTTTAGGGATACTTAATATACCAGAAAGAGTCAGAGTATTCATCTAGGTAGTGCGTCGAAGTGGCTTGAAAACAAAGCATTTTATAGCTCAAATACACATAAGTGAACATGATTGCATTCACTACAGGGGCATGGAAGAAACTCTGATCCATGCTTTATGGGACTGCAAAACAATAATGCATATCAAGTTAGCTCTTCTGAATACTTCAAATTAGGAATTTTTCTTTACCATGAATGTGCAAGACTGGTTATCACTTAATATGCAAAACGATATCAGCATGCATTAGGATGAGAGATGGCAAGAAACCCTATGTGTCACGGTATCTAGAAATGGTGTAATTAAAGGATATTTGATGAAGAATTCGTCATGCCTCAAAGCATGATTGGCAACATCAGGGATCACATTCAGCAATACTTTATAAGTACATGCATGATAATTAGAAGCTCTTCGAAGACATAGTCAAAAATTAATATGAAATGGCAACCACTTGATAAAGAATGGGTTAATCTCAGCACAGATGGATCAGTCACTATTACAAAAAACACATACCGCAATGGTTGGAAATTAGATACCACCACGTTGGTCCAACCGTTATGAGGTAAGCTATGATTGTATGTATGATGCTTTCCACCACTGGTGTACGACCATGATTGTATCTATGTATCGCGCTACTTACCACAACAATTACTTTAAACAACCGTTGTGATATTCTTTAAGACAAAATATTTAACAACAATTGTGATATATAGACCCGAGTTTATTATAAATTTTGTTGAATGTTTATTTCGCCAATGCTTACTAAACATATAACCTTTCAATCTGCACTAGAACATTATAATATGACAAATTAAGTTATATTATAAGAGCTAGTTCATGTTCAATGGTAGACAGAGTTCTTCCCCTCCTTATCCGTATTTTGTTATTTGATAGTTAGAACTTGGTTTAATGATCATAGTTCTTGAAATTCCCATGCCTTCACCTCTAGTTCTTTTTGCAAAATATTATCTACTTTGCAAACAAAACTAGAGGTGGAGAGAGGGACGGTTGAAGACCTACAATCACTAAAGTTCTAACTATCAAAGAAAAACATGCAGTTAACGGTGTCAAAAATTCTTGTCAAGGATTGAACGTGTACTTGTCTTCTAATACAACTTTACCTATTATATTATGATTTTCTAATGCAGTTTGGAAAGTTATATATTCGGTAAGAGATTGAAAAAACACTCAAACCACACAATATATAATAAACTCACCTTTTAAACAAACATTAATAACAAGATTTATCAAAAACAAACCATAAATAGAAAACATGATACAACAAACATATCAAGTCATATAATGTTTCAGAAACGTATCATGCATGTCCCTTAATTGCGTGCCCACAATGAAATAAGGATGAAACTGAAGTTAGAACTGCCAATTTGTGTGTATTTTGAATGGAAGTCATCCGGGATCTTTCGCACAAGTTTGCATCGCTAATTTTAGCTTCGCCCTCTTTATTGAAACAAGTATCACTACCTACAAGTCAAAACAAGAAGAAAGTTCAAACATTATGAAACAAGCTATTGAAACAGATTTTGAAAAAATAACTTTAGAGAAAACTAACCTATACCCATTGGGTAAGATTTGATGTTATGGTTTCGTTTTGAGGTTTCCATATGAGAGAAACGAGTGACAAAGTTGTTAGGGTTTCATTTTGAGAGAGACGAGTGAAATAATTGTTAGGGTTTTGTTTTTAGAGAGACAATTGTTATGTACTGAAGCGAGAGATAATTTCGCTTATATATAAATAAGTATCACCTTTTATGGTGATTTATTGTTAGGGTTTTGCTTAGTGAAATAATTGTTATGGTGATTTATAAGGTCAGTCACATTTTTATCACGATAAATAGATCATTATTGGTATTGAGATTCGAACCATTTCACTTCATGTACCATTCACTACGGTTGTTTCATTTGACCATTGTAACATGTCTTTTAATAAATATAAAAAAAAAAATACTAAAAAATTTACTATTATCACGGTTAAATTCGTTATAAAATTGATATTATGAAAGAGGTGTATGTAGCAAGACAAAATATAACCATTAAATTGTTTGATTCTTGTCCTACGGAAGTCTTTAAGGTGTATGTAGCGGATAAGAGGGTACCTCCATGAAAATAATTGTGTACTTGTGATTGATTTGGGTTTTGCCCTCTCCATCAACAAAAAATAATAATTATGATGTCATAGTCTAAATCTGATCCTATATTCTCCTTAATTTGTGAAGGAAAGAAGATGTATCACATCACATGGATTTCTCAGTTTTTGACCCTTCTTCTTGAAAACATGGGTTTCATTCTCCTTGGAGGCAAAGCACTTAAGGTAAAAACAAAGTCTCTGATTAAATGAGTCAATTGTGAGAGAGTAATTGTTTTCATGTTTATATAACAGGAAATAAACTCAGAATTCAGTGATTCTCCCTTAAGACTTCAATACTACATAGCAATCACAGGAGCAGCATATCTCATATTTTCCTTCTCCATTCCAACATTATCTTCGATGAGAAACTGGCTCGGAGCTTCTGCAGTCGTCACCCTCGCTTACATAGTATTTCTTCTCATTGTTGTTGTCAAAGATGGTAAATCAAATACAAACAAAGACTTTAACATCACCGGAAGTAAAGTGAACAAGGTGTTCAATAGTTTTGGTGCTATTTCCGCCATCATTGTTACCAACACCAGTGGCATGCTTCCTGAAATACAGTCAACTTTACGTAAACCAGCAGTGAAGAACATGAGAAAAGCGTTGTACTCACAATTTACAGTGGGAATCTTGTTCTATTATGGTGTTACTATAATGGGATATTGGGCTTATGGATCAATGGTATCTTCATATCTTCCTGAAAATTTAAGTGGACCAAGATGGATCAATGTCATTGTTAATATCATTGTTTTTCTTCAATCCATAGTTTCTCAACATGTAAGTATTTTACATGTTATATCTCATGATAATATATATAATAAAGTTTATACAATAAACTGACGTGTAATGTTTAAGAAATGCAGATGTTTGTGGCACCAATTCATGAGGCATTGGACACTAGATTTCTCGAAATCGGCAAGGGTATGCATTCAGGAAAGAATTTTAAACGGTTGTTTCTACTACGCATCTGCTTCTATACCGGAAACACATTCGTCGCTGCTGCATTTCCTTTTATGGGTGACTTTGTAAATTTGCTTGGCTCATTTTCACTTGTTCCTCTCACTTTCATGTTCCCAAGCATGCTCTTTCTTAAGGTTATTATCTCTGTCCTTACTAACTCTCTAGAATATTATTATTATTATTATATTTAACTAGTTTGTTTATGACTTTGGTTTGGATGAAGATAAAGGGAAAGGGAGCTAGAATTGAGAAGAAGGCATGGCATTGGATCAACATTATAATTTCATTTCTACTTACAATAGCAACAACTATTTCAGCTCTTCGCTTCATAATCAACAACATCCAAAAGTATCAGTTCTTTGCTGATGCATGATTGTGCATTAGTTTAAATATCAAATAGAATTGAGCTCACATATACATTTGGTGGGAAACCATTACAATTGAATAATGTAAAATTAATCTATCATTGACCTCTATATAAACTTCTGCAAAATTGCATAGGACTTTGGTATATTAGAATTCATTTTTTATTTAAAATGTGGAGGCCTAATAATATCCTAACTTTTGTGATTTTGCAGTCGCAAATGTATCTAATGGTGGAGATATAACATGTTTGATTTAAAAATAAATATCATTAAACTTGATTTAGTATTAAGATACTGCTTTGAATAAATTGAATTAATTATACTTAACGTGCCAATAATTAATGGGTATATTGTGAGGTTTGATGAAACTTATTTTAAAGTTTTTATGTTAGATGAATATTTTTTAAAAAAAAAATTTAATTGTTTAAATAATATAATATAATTTTTTTTTAAAATTTGAGGGAACTCCATTTAAAGTTTTTGAAGGATTGGATGGATATTTAAAAAATATAGTTGAGTTATTTAAAAAATTTAAGAAAAATAAGAAAAGGTGTCACCAAAATCCAAAATTTAACACCATAATTGTGATCGCGCAATTCGCAAGTGTGAAAATTATGTTTCAAATTTCTTACCTTATATGGCGCCATTTTGTATATATAGGTGAAAGAAATAATAGTCTCGCAAACTTTCAGGCGTGAAATGTGGAGGATCGTTGGATGTGTCTGAGACGTAAATCTCTTGTTGCAAGGTATATGATAGTCCTGTGGTAAGTAGAAGATTCTAGAACATAACTGTGCAGCTGGTCAATACACTTTAGTCTGAAACGAGCTATTTTCAGGTGGTCGGCTCAGAAAATTTGCCTCCAAGCCCTCATGCTTGAGTAGCAAGGAGAGGGTTTAGGGAACTTCACCCTCGGCGAGCGATCACCTTTACTTTGTTCCCCTAGAAAAAGGTTGTCACTTCAATTTTTTGGGGATTTGAGTTTTCAATGTTCAGAAAGCCAAACGTATATTCGAGGGCGTCATTATTATCATTCTTGGAAACGTAAACCCTGCAATATTACGTACGAGATATACAATCTTTGATAAAACATCTTTCTTTTCATACTGCCCCCACATAACTAAGAAGAACCACTACTACAAAAAGTATATACAACAGCGTCAACGTTACCACTGTCATTTGAATAATCGTGTGGTATTTCTAAATTCAGACGACAATATATATATATATATATATATATATATATATATATATATATATATATATATATATATATATATATATATATATATATATATATATATATATATATATATATATATATATATATATATATATATATATATATATATATATATATATATATATATATATATATATATATATATATATATATATATATATATATATATATATATATATATATATATATATATATATATATATATATATATATATATATATATATATTAAAAATTGTAAACTTATTACCGCGGTTGTTTAGAACAGTTGTGGCGATATCTTATACCTTTCATGGGTTTGATTCTCAGCGACAACAAACTCGAGATTTCTTCATTATTTTAGTTGCACCTTTATTTTTATATATTTTTAGATAAAAAAATAAAATTGGTATCATTACGGTTCTTTACACTAACCGTTGTGAAATACTTTTCAATTTTTAAAATAATTCTTAAATACTTAACACCTGACACTTTTTTGTATAATTACATTAACGTACACAATATATCACCACAATTGTTTAAAACCGTTGTGAAATATTTTTCAATTTTTTTAATTTTTAAATGCTTAAAACCTGGCGCATTTTTATAAAATTACATTAAGTTAGCAATATATCACAATAGTTGTATTAAACAACCATGGTGGAATGACTTATTCACTTAAAGGAAACACAATTAGCTAGCTTCTCTCTTCAGTTGTATTTGTTCATTTCCATTAGCGAAACAACACAATTTTCAACCATAATGAAACAACGTCATTTTCAACCTTAACGAAACATCATCATTTTCAACCCTAAGGAAACAACACTATTTTCAACCCTATTGAAATAACATCATTTTCAATCAACAACTTCATCCAACTTCGTCGTTCTAGGCTTACGTACCATCGAGGAGGAAAATAAAGACTCCAACAGTTTTTTTTACTTATTCATCACATTTTTGCTACGTAGACGTTTTTCTCCATGCACCTACAATAAACTTCATTTTCCATTGTGTTTGTGTTTATGTTGTTGATCTCATTGTGTTGATGATGCCATTGTTGTTCGTGATGCCATTGTTGTTGGTGTGTCATTATTGATGATGACATTGTGTTGATGATGGCATTGTTATTGATGATGCCATTGTTCTTGATGATGCATTTGTTGTTGATGTCATTGTGTTGATGATGTCATTATTGTTTATATATTTGTTGTTATTTTTGCCGTTGTGTTAATGTTTCCATTGTATTTGATGATGCCAATGTGTTGATGATGTAATTGTGTTGATGATGCCATTGTTGTTTATGTATTTGTTTTTGTTAATGTCATTGTGTTGATGATGTCATTATTGTTGATGATGCCATTGTTATTTATGTATTTATTTTTGTTAATGTCATTATGTTGATGATGCCATTGTTGTTGATGATGCCATTGTTGTTGATGTGAAATTGTGTTGATGATGCCTTGTGCTGATGATGCCATTATTGTTGTTGATGTCATTGTGTTGACAATTCCATTGTTGTTGATGCTATTGTGAGCTTGATGTTTGTGTTTATGTCTTGATGTTAATTGTTTTATTTCTTGATATATGGCCTCTTCTTCATCTAGTAGTGACGAAACTACTTATACAAATGAAATGTGTACAAATGATTCTCAACTTATAGGCGAAAAAAAGAAGAAAAAAAAGGTGCTACAATGATCGCACAATTAGAAAAAGTTCACAAGTCGGATGTCAAAAGTTCGATCGAGTTTAATGTCATTTAAATGATACTTAATAGTCCTCATACTTAGATTTTTAAGTTATGTTGCGTTCCTTAGACATATCAAAATCAACATATTGATAAATGATTGGAAAGATGTATTGCATCTCAGAAAAACTACAACCACATGAAACGCGTCACACGCTCGTGGGATGGAATGAACAGAGTCGTCGCCGAACATTATTTATTCCCATAGAGGAAAAGGGAAAATATCGATAAAAGTACTAAAAGAACGACTAAGATATGGTCGTCGCAACCAAATCAGGGTTCGAGAGAAGATTATGCAAGGGGAAGGTATTAACACGGCTCACATCCGTTGTACTCAACGGGAACCATTTAGTTAGTTGTGCATGTGAGTGTTAGCTTTTGAATGTTAGCTTATTGAGTTTATTAAAAGGAAAAAGAATAGGACTAAAAGGTTTATTTTTTATTAGGGTGCCTGACAGGATTCCAAATCTCGCTCCTGCGTATCTCCATGTGTGATGTAGTTCTGTGTAGAAAATGTTTGTTTGTTGGTCGATTTTATAGAAAGCTATTTTGTCACAATCAACAGAAACACATTGCTTACCCAAAATGATTTGAGGAGCGGGCGTTTGTATCACATTGAACGGATATACGTATCAAAATTCGCGAGAAAATGTCACTTATCTCAACTAACACATATGTGAACGAAGCGTTGTTTTACATCATCTTGAGACGAAATATCTTTCATTTGGAAAATAATTTTTGATCGCGCGGAAGCGAGAAAAAGTTTAATGTGTTGGATATCTTTTTGGGCGAACGACGAATAATCGAGCAACGAAATGTAAGCTCACCATATGATTATTTGAGGAGCAAGAAAGTGTAAACCTCTCAATCTTTTTTCGTCCTATTTTTTTTTTTTGAAAAAATTATTAGCGAAAGACGAATACTCAAGCAATATGACGTAAGTCAATCATTCGATTATTTAGTGAACAAAAAAGTGTAAACCTCCCATTTATTTTTCGTCGAAGTTTGATTAAAGTATTTTATTTGGATGGCGAAAGATCAAGAAATATGACATAAGTCAATCATTCTATTGTTTGAGGAACAGGAAAGTATAACCTCCCATTCCCTTTTCAACCGATTTTTATTAAGAATAAGATCTTTTGTTAATTATGAAAATGCTTGAATTTTTATGAAAAATAAAAAAAGGATTAATTACTATGAACATAATGTAAAAAGTTTTATTATATATAATTAACCAACCATTAAAAGCAAATGACTTACTGACTTATGTTAGTTTCTAGTGAAAGTGTAATCACTACGCCAGAAATCACTTTTAGCAGCGCATAGAAAGACAGCGCTTTATACAAAAGCGATGCTAAAGGGCCAGTAAAAAAAAAAAAAGAAAAAAAGCGCCTACCAAAGACAGCGCTTTTAAAAAAGCGCTGCTAAATGGTGGGGCTAAGAAAGCGCTTTTAAAAAGCGCCGCTAAAGGGGGGGCCTACGAAAGCGCTTTTTAAAAGCGCTGTTAAAGGGGGACCCTTAGAAAGCGCTTTTTATATAAAGCGCTGCTATATGGAATTGATAAGGCACCCTATGAAAGCGCTTTTAAAAGCGCTGCTAAAGGCCTTTAAAAGCGCTGCTATAGGTATTCATATTATAATTTTAAAATACCCTCCAGAATTTTAATAGAATCAGAACAGTCACGCAACACATTTCTTCTTTCTCTGGCGAACGAAAACGAACGAACGAACCACTGTTCATCGTCCGACCATCAACTTCTTCCGTCCGATCATCCTTCCGACCATCACCGACCGTTCACCGTCCGTTTTTGAGTTCATCCATCCGTCTGCATTGTCGGTCCACCATTGTTACGGTACGTGAAGCTTTACTCTGCTTTTCTTGTTTTTTTTATCTTTTCACCATTGTTGTTCTGATGATATAGATGGTTTTTATCTTTTCAATGATGGTTTTTGTTGTTGTTGTTGTTGTGTTATTTGTTGTTGTGTTAATATGATATATGAGATATATATGATATTGTTGTTATTGTTGATGTAAAATAGTTTAT